GTATTCAACGTCGTTCTGACAATGGCGTATGCAATTCTGCATCTATCATTCTGCTATAAACTCAATGGTTCTATTTTTTCTATGGACAGTCAAAATTTTGGGATATCGACATTTTCACGAATTTCTGTAAAAGTATTCAGACCTGTGCAATTAGCAAATAAATGCATTAACAGTCGTTCTGACAATGGCGTATGCGATTCTGCATCATCCATTCTGCTATAAACTCATTGGTTCTATTTTTTCTATGGACAGTAAAAATTTCGGGATATCGACAATTTCACGAATTTCTGTAAAAATGTTCAGACGTCTGCAATTAGCAAATAACGGTATTCATTGTCGTTCTGACAATGGCGTATGCGATTCTGCAACATTCATTCTGCTATAAACTCATTGGTTCTATTTTTTTATGAACAGTCAAAATCTTGGGATATCGACATTTTCACGAATTTCTGTAAAAATGTTCAGACGTGTGGAATTAGCAAATAACTGTATTCAATGTCGTTCTGACAATGGCGTATGCAATTCTGCATCAATCATTCAGCTATAAACTCAATGGTTCTATTTTTTCTATGGACAGTCAAAATTTTGGGATATCGACATTTTCACGCATTTCTTTAAAAATGTTCAGACGTGTGTAATTAGCAAATAAATGTATTAACAGTCGTTCTGACAATGGCGTATGCAATTCTGCATCATCCATTCTGCTATTTACTCACTGGTTCTATTTTTTATAAGCAGTCAACATTTTGGGATATCGACATTTTCACGAATTTCTGTAAAAATGTTCAGACGTGTGCAGTTAGCAAATAACGGTATTCAACGTCGTTCTGACAATGGCGTATGCAATTCTGCATCTATCATTCTGCTATAAACTCAATGGTTCTATTTTTTCTATGGACAGTCAAAATTTTGGGATATCGACATTTTCACGAATTTCTGTAAAAGTATTCAGACCTGTGCAATTAGCAAATAAATGCATTAACAGTCGTTCTGACAATGGCGTATGCGATTCTGCATCATCCATTCTGCTATAAACTCATTGGTTCTATTTTTTCTATGGACAGTAAAAATTTCGGGATATCGACAATTTCACGAATTTCTGTAAAAATGTTCAGACGTCTGCAATTAGCAAATAACGGTATTCATTGTCGTTCTGACAATGGCGTATGCAATTCTGCATCTATCATTCTGCTATAAACTCAATGGTTCTATTTTTTCTATGGACAGTCAAAATTTTGGGATATCGACATTTTCACGAATTTCTGTAAAAATGTTCAGACGTGTGTAATTAGCAAACAAATGCATTAAATGTCGTTCTGACAATGACGTTTGCAATTCTGCATCATTCATTCTGCTATAAACTCAATGGTTCTATTTTTTCTATGGACAGTAAACATTTTGAGATATCGACAATTTCACGAATTTCTGTAGATATGTTCAGAAGTATGCAATTAGCAATTAAATACATTAAAAGTCGTTCTGACAGCGGCGCATGCGCTACTACATCATCCATTCTGGTATAAACTCATTGGTTCTATTTTTTCTATGCTCAGTCAAAATTTTGGGATATCGACATTTTCACCAATTTCTGTAAAAATGTTCAGAAATATGCAACTAGCAAATAAATACATTAAAAGTCGTTCTGACAATAGCATATGCGATTCTGATCATGCATTCTGCTATAAACTCATTGGTTCTATTTTTTCTATGGACAGTCAAAATTTTGGGATATTGACATTTTCACGAATTTCAGTAAGAATGTTCAGACGAGTGCAACTAGCAATTACATGCATTAACAGTCGTTCTGACAATGGCGTATGCAATTCTGCATCATCCATTCTGCTATAAACTCACTGGTTCTATTTTTTCTGTGGACAGTCAAAATTTTGGGATATCGACATTTTCACGAATTTCTGTAAAAATTATCAGAAATATGCAACTAGCAAACAAATATTTTAAAAGTCGTTCTGTTAAGAACGACGTGTGCAATTAGCAATTAAATGCATTAATAGTCGTTCTGACAATGGCGTATGCGCTTCTACATCATCTATTCTGCTATAAAGTCATTGGTTCTATTTTTTGTATGGACAGTCAAAATTTTGGGATATTGAAATTTTCACGAATTTCTGTAAAAATGTTCAGACGTGTGCAATTAGCAAATTACTGTATTAAATGTCGTTCTGACAATGGCATATGCGATTCTGCAACATTCATTCTGCTATAAACTCATTGGTTCTATTTTTGCTATTGACAGTCAAAATTTTGAGACATTGAAATTTTCACGAATTTCTGTAAAAATGTTCAGACGTGAGCAATTAGCAAACAAATACATTAAATGTCGTTCTGACAATGGCGTATGCAATTCTGCATCATTCATTCAGCTATAACCTCATTGGTTCTATTTTTTTATGAACAGTCAAAATTTTGGGATATCGACATGTTCACGAATTTCTGTAAAAATGTTCAGACGTGTGCAATTAGCAAATAACTGTATTCAATGTCGTTCTGACAATGGCGTATGCAATTCTGCATCTATCATTCAGCTATAAACTCAATGGTTCTATTTTTTCTATGGACAGTCTAAATTTTGGGATATCGACATTTTCACGAATTTCTTTAAAAATGTTCAGACGTGTGTAATTAGCAAATAAATGTATTAACAGTCGTTCTGACAATGGCGTATGCGATTCTGCATCATCCATTCTTCTATTTACTCACTGGTTCTATTTTTTTATAAGCAGTCAACATTTTGGGATATCGACATTTTGACGAATTTCTGTAAAAATGTTCAGAAATATGCAACTAGCTAACAAATACCTTAAAATGTCAGAACGACTTGCAATTCTGCATCAACCATTCTGCTATAAACTCACTGGTTCTATTTTTTCTATGGACAGTCAAAATTTGGAGATATTGACATTTTCACGAATTTCTGTAAAAATGTTCAGACGTGTGCAATTAGCAAATAACTGTACTCAATGTCGTTCTGACAATGGCATATGCGATTCTTCATCATTCTTTCTGCTATAAACTCATTGGTTCTATTTTTTCTATTGACAGTCAAAATTTGGAGATATTGACATTTTCACGAATTTCTGTAAAAATGTTCAGACGTGTGCAATTAGCAAATAACTGTACTCAATGTCGTTCTGACAATGGCGTATGCAATTCTGCATCATTCAGTCTGCTATAACAGTCAAAATTTTGGGATATCGACATTTTCACGAATTTCTGTAAAAATTTTCAGACTTGCAATTACCAAATAAGTGCATTAACAGTCGTTCTGACAATGACGTATGCGATTCTGCATCATCCATTTTGCTATAAACTCATTGGTTCTATTTTTTCTATTGACAGTCAAAATTTTGAGATATTGACTATTTTACGAATTTCTGTAAAAATGTTCAGAAGTGAGCAATTAGCAAACAAATGCATTAAATGTCGTTCTGACAATGGCGTATGCAATTCTGCATCATTCATTCAGCTATAACCTCATTGTTTCTATTTTTTTATAAGCAGTCAAAATTTTGGGATAACAACCTTTTAGGAATTTCTGTTAAAAATGTTCGGACGCGTGCAATTAGCAAATAACTGTGACAATGGCATATACGATTCTGCATCATTCATTCTGCTATAACCTCTTTGGTTCTATTTTTTATGAACAGTCAAAATTTTGGGATATCGACAATTTCACGAATTTCTGTAAAAATGTTCAGACGTGAGCAATTTGCAAACAAATGCATTAACAGTCGTTCTGACAATGGCGTATGCGATTCTGCATTAAATGTCTGTTAATATAAATCGGACCTAGTGGGATTCAGTTCAAACACATAAATTTGCACTGACACTTACAGTCCTTAAAATTCTCCTTACAAGCACATAAACTTGAAGGAAAGACGACGATTATTAAATAAATCCAAATTGGTTATGGTTGCTTTACAAAAGACAACTGATTAACTCTTTATTATTTTCATTCTTTTATACAAATAATTTCTTAACATAATTGATTACTTGCATAAAGTAAAACTAGGTCAAATATTATTAATACAAAGTGAATAAATGAAATTGTTAAATATTGAACCTAAATAAACGTGAATAAATGGCTTACATGAAAATGCTGAATTAACAAACTAGAATAAAGCTTTAAATACGTCACAACCAAACTACAACTTAAATATAAATATGTATGTAGATACGTATGTGTTAACATTCTCCGCCGCGTTGACAGTGTTCAAGCAGAAATGGAGCCATTTGTCGCTGATTGGTGAGTTCTTACAGCTGGAGTAGGTGTAAATTGAGCTGGTTTGTTGAACCTTAAATGCATTCTCCAACTCAGCAGACCAAGCAGAATAATAATGCAGCAACATAACGAGGTGTAGCTAACTGCATGATGGTGAAGACTGGTGGAGTGGATAAGTTGTGGCAAATGCTTAAGTGTTGATTCATTCAACTGCCGTTGTATATTATCCAATACTTCCAGATGAATCTTGTAAGAAGTAGTGTTCGTGAGCGTTAAAATCTTTTCTATTTCCTGTGGTGGACTTATAGAATGGATGTCTTTTAATCTCACATATGAAGTGTGTATGCTGTTTGAGGGTTCAAAATGTCCATGTATGGTAACAAAATGGTTCTTCATGACACAGTTGGAACCCATCTCCATTATTCCGGCATTCTTGATGATGATAAGATTTGTCTCCGTACCGCATACAATAGAAGATTCAACATCGACAGTAGTAGCGAAGATCCATCTATTTTGATGATGCAATTGGGTCCATACTGTAGATCCAATAATCTTGTTAAGATTGCAATTGGCAGTTGAATGATTATTAAAGATATTGACTTCACAGGGGTTGGCGACTGCGTTCCTCTGGAGTTTGGACCACTGATTTCTACAGATGTATTCGTCATTCTTTGGTTTAAGGCATCTTGATATGTCCTCAGGTTGAAAAAGTATGTATTCGTCTCTGTGCGCATCTGTAGCCAAGTATGACTTTTCTGGCTTAATGGGTGCCATTCCTTATTGTTGGAACGGGTACTACCTTGAATAATTCAAAAAACTGTTGATTGACTAAGGGTATCTTGACCTCGAAGATGACTTCATGCTTTGTCACTGCACCCTTGACGCTCATAAGTTTATAGAGCTCAATCAAGTTCTCATCGTCCGTTGGTAAAGCATGCGAAATTAGAAGATTAGCCTTGATTATGTTAATTTCTTCTCTCAATTGATGAGGAGACAGTAAAAGTGGACTTATTTTGCCATTATGTATATCGGTAAGTACACTAATGATTTCCGACTCTACTCTCTGCAGGTTCATTGCGGAGAATACCAGGTACGTTGACAAGAGTCCGACAAGCTGCGAGTTTTTTAACTGGGAAGACTCTTTAGCCACATCATTATTTATTTTCTCAACCATTTCTGAGATCTCTTGTATCTTTTGTTGATTGCCGATCTCATCCTGTTTTATGACATTAATGGTAGAGTCAACTATTGAAGTTTGGGCTTTCAACAGACTTGTCATGTGCTCGTGCTCGATTCTTGCCTTGCTAATGGTTTTAGACATTTCTTCCGCATAATCAGCATCAAGGACACCAAAAAGTGAACGCGCAATATTGCCGACTATATTGAATGGAGATCTTTTAAACCGTCTGTTGGTAAATAACTCCTTTTCCTGTAGTAGTTCATTTTTAATGTGTTTGAGATTGCTCACGAACATGTCACACATCTTGTGTTGTTGAATTACAGGACACATCTGTTGAAGCGATTGTAAACCGGTTGAAAGCGACTTTATTTCTGATGCAAAAGGCGTTAAATCGTAATACACCAACATTTTCCATTCTGCCGTGTTAAGTTTCACTGTTCCCAAGCCTTCAAAATGTAATCCCGGATCATTGTGAAATTGCGTTATTTTCAGCATGTCGCATAGGACCACAGGCATTAGAAGCAAGGCTAATATTACTGATAGCATTATGGGGCAATTTGCGATCTTCATTCTTTTCCTCGGGATGGTATCTTTCCCATCTTCCTCTTGCCTAGAAGAGCCGATGTCACCCTGCGTTGTCTGGTCTGTGGAAAATTCACTATGCTCCTCTGGAAACAGTGGAGCCAGCCTCTGAATGGCCCGTTGTATACTCCAGTTGATGTTTTCACATCAGCAACTCGTACAGCTCCATCGTCACCAGCGAACACATTGAGAATTCTTCCCAATGGCCACTTCATCGGTGGTAAATTATTTTCCTTGATGATGACCATATCACCTTTCCGAAGATTGTTCATCTTTCTCCTCCATTTGTTCCGTTGTTGCAGTTCGTGGAGGTATTCATCCGACCATCTTCTCCAGAAGTGCTGCTTGATATGTGAGAGCAGCTTCCAATGAGATGTGCTGGATGTCTTAACAGATTCTGTTCTGCTGTCTACTTGTGCAGTTAAAGCCTCCCCGATTAAAAAGTGTCCTGGTGTCAATGCTTCAAGACAATCAGGATCGTTTGACAAAGGCGTGAGCGGCCGGGAATTTAGGATTGCTTCTATCTCGATTATGATCGTTTCCAATTCCTCATGTGTTAGGATTTCCGTTGACACGCTACGTACCAAGAGGCGTTTCGCGGACTTCTCTGCTGCTTCCCATAAACCTCCGAAATGCGGTGCTCTTGGTGGGATGAAATGAAAGTGAATGCCTTTAGACCTTGAGGTTGAAATAATTGATTCTTGCGCTTTATCCGAATATATATTTTCAGATAGCTCCGCTAAATTATTCTCGGCTCCAACGAAGTTCGTAGCATTGTCGCAATATATGTTTTGGCAGTGTCCACGCCGCGCAATGAAGCGTTTAAGTACGCCAATAAAAGCTTCTGTGGATAAATCAGACACAAGTTCTAGGTGAACTGCCTTTGTCGCAAAGCAGCAGAAGACAGCTACATAAGCCTTGGTTGGTCGCTTACCCCTCACTTTGTAATGTATCCAAAATGGCCACAATAGTCAACTCCAGAGTTTATAAATGGCCGTGCGGGAGTTACTCTTGTTGCTGGCAGCTGTCCCATTATTTGTCGATACAGCTGGGGTCGTGCTCTGGTGCACCTTATACATTTTTGAATCGTTGATCTGGCAGTTATTTTCCCTCTGATTGGCCAAAATCGTTGTCTTATTGTGTTTAACAGCGCTTGAGGTCCACAATGTTTGTTTTCTTCATGAATCGTCGTAAACCCTATTTGCCACAAATGTCTTATATAAGGTTGACTGCGATTTTATCCAGGCAAGGACAATTTCCGAGTCGGTCCATAGAAACATGGGGTGACTTTGAAGCTTTAAGTCAATCCTTACTCTATTACCCAGTTCAGCTGCTACCACTGCGGCACAAAGCTCTAGTCGAGGAAGTGTTTGCTGTTTCAACGGAGCAATTCTGGATTTAGAGCAGATCAGGCGTACAGTTACGAGACCATCCTTTGTAACAAAGCGAATGTATACAGCAGCGCCAAACGCTTTCTCCGACGCATCGGCAAACACATGTAATTGCACCTTTGCCTGAATCTGCCCACGGAATACATGTCGTGGTATTTTGAAATTGTTGAGACCTTCCAACTCGCTTCGAAATGCTTTCCAGGTTGCACAAAGTTTTTCGCATCCTAATGCAAGTTGCCACAGCTGCTGGATAAACATCTTTGCTTTTACAACAATTGGTGCAAGCAGACCAAGTGGATCAAAGAATTTCGCTAGCTCAGACGTAACTGATCGTTTCGTTATTACTTGACAATGATCAATATTTGCCTTCACGCAAAAACGGTCGACCTGAGGCATCCAAAATAGTCCTAAAGTCTTTATCGTTTTGCTTTCATCAAAATCTAGATTGACTTCCCTATCACTATGAGGTATATCCTTTAGCAATCTTGGACTGTTTGACGACCATTTTCTTAAGTTGAAGCCGTGCTTTTTCAAAATGATTATAAATTCCTTTTGTGTCTCCATCGCTATGTTTAAGCTATCAGAACCACCGAGACCATCGTCCATATAAAAGTTCTCTTTTAGCATTTCTGAACCAAGGGGTAGCGATCCAAGTTGTCGTCCGCGATTTTCTGTAGACACTTTGTGGCAAGGTACGGTGCTGCACGAGTTCCATATGTAACAGTATTGAGCTTGTAATAGCTAACTGGGTGCGATGGATCTTCCCTCCAAATGATCAGTTCATATTTCTGATCATTGGGGTGAATTAAGATTTGTCTATACATTTTTTCAATGTCAGTTGTGAAGACAAACTTTGGTAATCGGAACCGTAGCAGGATAGAGAACAGTTCACTTTGCACAGTTGGTCCTGTGTACATTAAGTCATTTAACGAATGACCCGATGACGTTTTCGCGGATGCATCAAATACCACCCTTAATTTTGTCGTGGTACTATCTGGTTTAAGCACACAGTGATGCGGAATGAAATATTTAGGGTTCGACACTATATTCACGTCAATTTTCTGCATGTGTCCTAGCATTTCATATTCCTGCATGAACTTGATGTATTGCATGCGGATATCATCCTTCTGAAGAAGCCGATGTTCAAGACTCATGAACCGGTTATACGCCATCGCATGAGATTTTCCCAATGTTGTTGGAGATTCTTGGAAAGGAAGACTAACAATGAATCGACCGTTCTGATCCGTCTGGACATGCTGATTATAATGATACTCGCACCGGGTTTCCAGCGGAGACATTACCCTTTCTGTTGATGCTACTTCATCGAGTTTCCATAACTTCTCAATTGCTTGTGCCAGTGAAGTTTCACTATCGAAAATTGCACATGTTAGCGCAGCTGATGTGACGTTCGTTGATGATTGTTCTATTAAGCCGCCTACAATCCAGCCAAGCGCAGTATTCTGCAGAATAGGTTGATTATTATTCAGTTTTATTGTACCCGGTTGCATTAGGCTGAAGTAAAACTCTGCCCCGAGTAGGATGTCAATTTTTCCTTGAATATTGTTGAGGTTCCTGGTTCATTACACCGATAGGCCAACAATCGATACCTCAACTATTACTGCTGTCGACCAGACTGATTGATCGCTAAGCTAGAAGAAGCAAGAAGCTAAACTTTGCCACAACAAAAAGAATTGTTTTAACTAATAAATATATAAATTCAGACCGTCAGAGTCTTTTAATTAAAACAAGTGTTTTATTGAAGCCTTAACCACCAGTGCCTTATTAGCAACACGTAAGTATCGCCTGTATACTTGTTGTGTTATCTAATATTCATAGTTTTGTTGTTCGTTTTTGTGCAACAAATAATACACTTTCGGATCTAAATCTACTCTGTAGATTTAGAACCCCTACAAGTCCATACGCCTGTATCGGAACTTGTACATGGTCCTTCGAAGCCTTTATAAAAAGAATCGGCTGATTTGCAAAAAAATAAAACAATTCATTTTTACATTTTTAAATTGGCGCCTTCGCTTTTGTTCTGTTGCCAAATAATCAACAGAGTCATTTTAAAGAGAAAAACTCTTTATATGTATGTTTGTTGTTGCTTAACACAAATTAACGTACACTAACACCATAAAAAAGACCACTCTCACTTTGCTGCATCATTTTTTGTTACATTTGTTTTGCTACATTCGTGATCAACAAATATAACAAGCTTTGTCATCTGTTTCATTGCTTCTTTGATCGATCTGTCATCTACCATTGTTCGACTATCGATCAGCTGGTGTGGTGAAAAAGAGTTGTGCAGTTACTGCGACGAGTAACGTAACGTATAAAGCTAGTACATATATTGAATACCACAATAATAAACTAACAATCGAAAAATAACAAAAAATAAAATTAATAGGAACAAATAAATAAAAATAAATCCTAATTAAAAAAGCACATAAATCAACAACATACATAAATCTAAAAATTAACAATATTGTTAATAGTTCTCTTAAAGTTTAAAAAATAAACGTTTATTGAGAAAAGAAGAATATACGCAACAAACACATTTGAAATTTTATATAACTTCATTTATTTCTAAATTTATAAATAAATTGATAGTTGAAGTGTTTGTATATTCAAAAATAATAAAATTCATAAATAATAACAATAATTTTAAAAATATCAATAAATATCAATATTATATAAAAACTAATAAAATAAATTAAATAACTAATTTAAATTAATATTACAAAATGGTTTCTAAAATGTATGCTAGACCGAAAACCTTATGCAAACTTGCATTAAAATAGTAAGCACAGCAGAGAACGAGCTGTCTGATTCTTTAATAGAAACAAAGTTAGAATCAATGGATGAAGATTGGCACAATGTACGCAGTGCATTCGAAAACCTTATGCAAACTTGCATTAAAATAGGAAGCACAGCAGAGAACGAGCTGTCTGATTCTTTAATAGAAACAAAGTTAGAATCAATGGATGAAGATTGGCACAATGTACGCAGTGCATTTGAAAGTGTCTATTTTAATGAGGGAGATGAAGATTACAAATTGAGAGCTAGAGATATGTTTGCGTCCGCCCGAGATAATTACCAAGTGACTAAAGCTACTTTATTGGAAATATTAAAAAATCGAAAGGCGCAGAGCCAAAGTAATACCGCTAGAGGCGAAGTTACAAATCCATCGTTGTTTCACAGCTCAGCTGTTTATCCTTCGGGTACGTTTTGATATGTCCGAGATTTGTATTAAAGTGCCACCTTGTGACACTCACGACTTCTACGGAAGTTATGAAGAATGGCCAAAATTTAGAGATATGTTTACGGCTATTTATGGAAATCATCCCAGACTCACACCAGCGCAATAGCTTTATCATTTGCGTAATAAAACTAAAGGTGAGGCTGGTAGAATTGTAGATCGGTACCCTTTATCTGATCAAAATTTTTCGTTAGCATGGGAAGCATTATCGGTGCGATACGAAAATGTTAGGGTACTAGTTGATAACCAACTGAAGATATTATTCAATCTTTCTGCAGCAACGGTTGAATGTAGCAAAGATATTAAAAGAATTC